CACATTTTGTTGACTTTCCTCTACTAGTGACTACTCTACTCTCTGTTACAGTGACAGGTGCCTACCAATGCTCAACCTGCTAAAAGTTAATATTTAATAAGCAAGCACAGGTAATAACTTAATAAATTAAAGCACAATATTCAATTCAACCATGTACATGCAAACGGTGACAAAATCTATTTCGAAACATTAAATCATTAAACACTCTGTCTCCCCCTCTCATTCATTCTAAGTTTCAACATATGTACCAAAATTCAGCACCCTACAGGTATTCAGTGGACTCTTCCACTACACCAGAAATACACTGTACATGTACATACTGCAAAATTGATGAATGAAATTTTTACTTTGCAAGGAATAAATTCAGGGGAAAGAAAATGACAACCTGCAAACGAGCATGGTACGTAAATGTTCAAGTGTTTCTTTCCATATTCTGTTATCTAAATTTCCCTGTTTTTTCTACAAAATCACAAAACCTTTCTAAAAAATCTGCATATTTACAAAACAAACAAATGACACTTGAAGCATTAACTTCATAAACATTTGCCCTTAATCAAGGCGCCCACGGCAAAACGGATAGTGAAGACCACACGCCGAACTGAATGCAAGTCCAAAATTAACCATGTATGCGCATGCAGTAGCCGAGCTGTCATGGACTGTGCCTGCCACCGCAAGCGACTTTGGACATGTTGGAGCTTTGTTTCCAGTGGTTTATTTGAATTATTCAATTATTATGCTAATGTTATGAATTATTCACATTTCTCTGAACCAATCGTGTTTTGGGGGCTAAGTAGTCCAAGCATGTCTAGGCTACTTACGTTCATGAAGCCGCTGCAAAACGGCACAGCCTGGTATTTGAAACTTTTGCCATATCCATCTAGTTAGAAGATTGACAAATACGTTTTTACCCTCAAGAACAGCCTTCAGGGCCAACATTTGCTGTGGTTTCAATTTGTCAATTGGAATCCCAAGCTTCGGTGCTGCATATTTGAGGCAATTCTGGAAGAGATTGTGGTCTAGAGCTTACATCATTGCCAGAAAGGACGCCATGTTGAATATGCATGCCATTGTAATGATGAATAATTATTACATACACGATAGAGGTGATCATTTTGATTGGTGGAGACTTCTGCCCATACATATCCTATCTGCTCCAAACCGGTAGCAAATGTAAAGAAAAACATAAACTACATGCAGAACGTGCATGCAGTTCGTTGTGCAGTCTTTCTTCATGCGTTGGTTTGGTGCTTAATCCAGTCTCCTCCAGCTCCTCGTTCTTGAGCGACGATCCATTTCGCCGCGGACACCTTGATCAAAGGCTACATGTACATGTACATAAACACCAGTACTTTGGCTTGGCAATCAGTTGCGAACAAAATTTTAAATTACCGGTAAATTGAAACTGCCTTCCCTGTTGCACATGATACAAAAACAGGGAATGCTACATGTATAAATGGGTACAAATGTATGTGCTCTGTAACATAATGTTACAGACCACATAGATGTACATTTACTTACACGTATGTCAGTATGTATGTGAAGTGACAAGCAAACAACTCGAATACCTAATTTGTTAAAATCAATTTACATGTACAATTCAGTTGACTTGTTAGCATTCATGGTCAGATGATCTGCAATTCAGCTACACATAGCAGTAAGTAGTAAAAGTGAAACTGTACAGTTAAACAGTGAACACAATGATGAGTAATATCGGAGGTTAACACACAGAATACAGATTTCTCACGGGCACACATGTGAGTACACATACATGTACATATACGATGAAGTCACAGGCTTCATTTACACTGCCATATTGTATCTGTACCACCAGAAGGGTTAGTTGTCCCTTCACTGTTTGTCTTGTGAATCCACATTGGTTCTATTTTTAGGTGAGTGTGTCATCATCCAGTGAAATCAAGCTTTCCGATTCATTAACATCCAGTCACATGACCCATATAGCCTGTATAGTTGGCTTGTACATACATGTACATGTATGCAGAGATACACGTGTATGAACATGTATGTACAGTATCATAACTACATGTACATGTACCTCAGCATCATATTGTACCATGAAATATAAACATGTACGTGAACCAGGCAGCTCAATGGTAACAGTGCATGACTGGAAATTCTTTGAAGATACATGTACATGTATGAGAATTGTATCACAGAAAAAAATTCCTAATCATACCCGGTACATGTAGCATCATGCAATAAGGTTTCTTGTAAATTTCACACAAACTTCATTTTAAAAATTACAAATTAGTCAAATTGTCACAATGTAAAGCAAAACAGAGAGCTACATGTAACATCCAGGACAACTGACTCTACATGTACACGTACCAGTATGCTGCTCGTACATGTATACTGTATATCACATGTACATTTACAGTAGCTCCACAATTAATTTAAAAAAAAAAAAAAGTCAGGGTGTATTTTTTCAGAAAATTCATTTACAGTAAGTATCATAAATACAAGTACATGTACATGTACATGTATGTATAACAAATTATAAACAATGGCCAAAAAAGCCAAAGAAAGTGTACATGTATACATAATGGGGCCATGAGTCCATACAGTACATACATGTACATGTACAATGTATACATCATGTATACATGTTTACATAATGGGGCCATGAGTCCATAAACGTATACATGTAAATCAAATCATTGTGGCCAGGGGATACTACTGACATCTAGCAGAAAGAAATGTATAAAACTGTACCAGTTCTTGATGTACAGTAGATGTTAAATTTACAGGCATCATGTCTGTAAGCAAGGTCTACATACAGGTACAGTTCTTGTTTGTAATGAAAATGTATGCATTGATCAATGACACTTGTACATGTACATATACAATGTACAATTTACTGTTCATGAACCTACATGTACACCATACAATGCTCTCCACACATAATTCTGCGGTGAACAGAACTACCAGTACATGTAAAGTACATGAAAAAAACTAAATGAGGGTTGATTCTGAGTCATACATTTAACACTTAGTCCTTAGATCTAAACTGGGGTTCATTTAAGGGGGCACACAGCGTGAAATTACCATCAGACGTCTGCCATTTTCTGACCACTTCTCTTATTTGCCCCACCAAAGAAGAAGTGGTTGGGCAAAATCTGAAGGAAATGCAAAGGTAAAAGTCCCAAATTAAAAATCTTCTTTTTTTTTAATCTGTGTTTGTGCTTAACATGGAAATTAAACTATAGTCCTAAGAGTGTGCTATCATGTGACCTTATCATCCTATCACATTGATCATGTAAATATTGGTTGGCCTAATTTCATGCACTGTGCACAATCTCTCGGTATCAAACACCTTTCAACCTACTTGAAAAGAAATCATGGGGAAAACACAAAACAAACTAAATAGGGAAAATTACATGTTAATGTATGGCTACAAAATAAAACAAAACAGAATATTTCATGAATATTCATTTAAGAAATACTACATACATGTATACTCCAGGTACAAGTACATGTACTGTACACACGTACATGTACGTGTATGTATGTACATTATATTACATATACTTGTAGCATGTGTCACAGCCATGGCACTATATGTACATGTATCATGAAAACCTGGCCCACTCTTAATTTTAATACATCATGAGTGAGAACTGATGAATTCAAATAATTCAATAGGTGTACTGTGTCTAATGCTTGTGATGTGAGATATTAGGGTTTTGGATCAAAACTAATGATGGCCACTTGCACTGCAACACAAACAGCTGAGCGTTTTATTGTTAAAAAATATCCCTCTCACTATTCTATAGCAAATAAGAGGCTCAAAATTTTAGAAAACAAAACTGTCTTTGACTTCATTCACTTGCAATATTCACACCAAAACCTGAATATTCAGCAGCTGATCAAATATTCAAATTAAGAAAGATTGCTTTTGGTAAACTGATATTCTGATAGTATACAAATGTGGAGGTAAAAAAACCCCTACATTTCTTCATTAGATGTGCACTTTCACATAGTGACTTGGTGTATGTTGGTCCGATCAGCTCATGTACAATCTGTACCTGTATTTTAATTCCCATGCAGTGGCTTATCAGCCATCAGAAAGTGATATTACACATGTCAATGCAGCAGGAAAAATAATGAAGCATTTTCAGACTAAGGCTCAGGATATTTGTAATTGTACACAGACTTAAGTGATGTATGGATATCATGGACTCTTTCCTAATGTTTTTTGCCTCATTAAATACATGTACATGTATGTGCCTATCTAAAACTGTCAATGGCATCCTTCCTCTTTGGAAAGACTGAACAAACGTACAGAGATCTGCCGACAAGCAGCAAATATACAGTACATTGTAAACCAGCTCCTTGCTGCTGTACATCTACTTACATGTACAGCACATGTACTGTACATGTACATGTAGGTACCGATTATTCTACTACCAGTGCTACTGTAAATGTACTACTAAGTACATGTACTGTACATGTACTAGGCCAGGGTCCATGATGCCTAAACATCACGCGCCTGTACCAGTCAATGAAACAGCATTCCTTACAGCGTCTCTAGTGAAAGCTTATAGCTGTAAACACGCCCCCTCGGTCGGGCCGAAAACACACAGTCAAAAACCGGTTTTAAATTTTCCAAACCAACACAAAATGTACATGAACCCCTAGAAATGAACATGAATAATGGTGACATCACTAGAATGCTTGGGATTCCAGAAGAATATTGGCAGGTTTCACAGAAATAGCGGTCGTGATTCACGTCCGCGCAGTGACCTCCGGAGGGATGACGCGTCATGGTGGGAATGTCGCAATAGCTAATGAGGGAACCCCAACTCTAACGCGAGAGGTATTTCCCCGAATTCTTCCCCAGATTCAGAGCGGAACACGACATATTTAACCCTGAAATAAGCTAATAACACTGTAACAATATTATTCATCAACACTCTATTACATTATCATGTGTATAATGTGAAAATTTAAGGCTTTAAGAATGAAATAAACGGAAAACTTACGTTTAAGCGCCTTCGGTTTAGATTGTTTTTGACGTGGCATGATGTACACACTCTGTAGTACCGACACTCAATTTTCATTCGCCATTGGCTCCGAACGCCGGGATTTCCCGCCCATATCTCAGTCAGCTCTACCTTTCCTTCGACGCCAACTCAAGTAATACTACCGCAAATATTCAACAGTTATCTTAGTACTGAAGTCAATTCCAAATATTCGATGAAATTTCGAAATCGGCGGTGTTTTCTCCTTTAGATTTGTGTAGTATTACCACAGCGTGTTGGTGACTCGGTTGTGTTATGAGATTTGGTGACGTCATCGACGGGTCTCCACCAACGCGCCACGCCCCAGAGCGAGGCTGCTTTCAGCTTGGCGCGGATTTTCCCAACTAGTCTGCTCACACCGGGTTAATTCTATCGTAACACAAAAATCATACGCCGAGTCGCTAATCGGGGACTGCACAGGAAATTTTTGATATATATTTTAGCTTGGCGATGATTATCATTTTCGTATTAAATTCAGTGTACTGCTCAAATTCCTTCAATAGTAGTATTAATCTAATAACTCAGTGAAGTTGCCTTTATATGTAATACGTAAAATTATCATTTCAATCATAAATTGGAAACCACACAATTTGAGTTGCAATATTACGGTAAGCCTGCAAGAACTATAATGTTTGACTGATATCCCATATGGCAATTACGGGCTGGTAGGACGTCAGTGAGTGCCTACACCATACCGTTATGCGAATCACCACTAGATTTGCCAACAAAAGTTGAAAATCCAGAAATTCTTGAAAGATTTAAAGTTCTGACAGAAAGGTTTTGTGGTACATCTGGTAAAGACGGGCACCCATGTTCTCACTCTTCATGAACTCATCCCGCCGTTCGACGATGCGAGGTTTGTGTTATTTTATAGTATGATAATTGCATCATCAGAGATTAAATGAACAAGTGGCTGTGATATGACGTCAGACGGTTTTAAGACACAAAAAATGGAAAAAAAAATCAAACAATTAACATTTCAAAAAAGAACACAAGTTGAAAATTATTCCAAAATGTGTTGATTAATAAAAATCAAGTGAAACATACTGCTATATGTTTCGGTCTTAGTGTTCAAAAGCTCTAAGTTCCAAAGCCGGACCATGGCTGGGGACGGGGGCAACGAAAAAGGAGCCAATTTCTTAATAAAAAATCGATTTGCTTGGTGTATTGCATTTCTCCCTTCCAAAAACATGTAAAAGTGTTTCAAAACTAGCCTCCCCTTAACAAAAGGTCATAAAAGGTTACATAAAAAAATTGGCAAATTTTGACCAGCCCCACCAAAAATAACTGAAAGCCTCTTCCTCCATAAAGGTTGTTCTGGATCCTTCCTTGCTTGTCGTGTTGGATGTTGTTGATATT